CCGTGTTTCTTTTGGGCGCCGATGGCCGCTCCATGACTGAGGAGGGGGCAATGGATGATCATGAGCTTAAGGGCTCGGTTTGGACCGGCCTGCTCTACGCACCATTGCTTGACCCCAGGCCGAAGTCTATGGGTAACATAGCGCAACCAAGATCGGTTAGCCTTGTGAAAACAACCGCACCACAGGAACTCCGTGACAGATCCACCCGAACCAATATGCTGGGCGAACAAGACACCGGCATACTGATATGCCAGAACAATCAAGCGCGTAGGATATGCTCTAATATGAATCCTCTGAAACAATGGCAATGGCTCGGTAGCTCGAGTTCGCACATCAGCGGAATCTTTCTGTCCAAAATGGTCGGCAATCCACGAGCTGGCAGCTATACAACGACTGGAAAACACTACTTGCCCCCAGGTGACTCGGGCATACTTACAGCAAGGGGCCCTGAGCCCTTGCCTACACCCAGGGCTCCGCATTCTGATCCCCTACCAACTCATAGGGGGTCTAACAGCGGCTAACTTCTTAGGCGGGGCTGTCAGCCGGGCTCATTATCAGCTGCTGACGATAGTTGTCAACGTGGCATAACAGCCAGTTAGACACTGGGTTAGAGGCTGTTTGGTCCTGTTAGGCCCTGTGACTGACATGTACCTGGAGCCCACACTGTTAACAGTTGTCTGATTCTAGGGACTGTTAGCAGCTGTAAGGACCTGTAACAGAGCGCTTTCTGCCACAACAGGATATTGTTGACAGGATGTTACATTCTGGTTGGGTCACCCAGATGCTGAGAAAGAATTTTTGACGGCTGTTAGGTTTTTTTAAGTTAACAGTTGTCTGATTCTAGGGACTGTTAGCAGCTGTAAGGACCTGTAACAGAGCGCTTTCTGCCACAACAGGATATTGTTGACAGGATGTTTCATTCTGGTTGGGTCACCCAGATGCTGAGAAAGAATTTTTGACGGCTGTTAGGGTTTAGGGAAGGTAATTGTTAGCAATTGTTCAATTCACTTAAGTTGTTAAGCGGTGCCAAGGGCTGTAGTTGCTAACAGGCGTTGAAAGCTGTTACGAGCAGGGACATGCTGAAAGGAAGTTCCATCATGTTACTGGCTGTTGCCATTACATAATTTGCTGAACTGCTGTTTAAGGATTTTACTTGCTGTTTTGAGGTTCAGACGCTGTAAATGTTATGAGCTTTTACATGATCCCTGTCCA